CGAGGGCCGGCGCCCCCCCCGGCCCGCCCTCCCCCCCGGGGGGGGGCAGCCCCGACCGGCAGCCCCTCGGCCCCGGGAGCGGGGACCTGGACATGCTGCGCTGCCCCTCCTGCCTCCTCCTCCTCTGGGAACCGGTGACCGTGTCCTGCGGTCACTCGTTCTGCAAGTCGTGCCTCGGGGGGGCCGTGCCCTCCCGCTGCCCCCTCTGCCAGGAGAGGCTGAAGCTGCTGGGCGTCGGGTCGGCGAGGTGCAACGTGGTGCTCTGCGGCCTCCTGGAGAAATGCGTGGAGCTGGAGAGCCGGCTGGCCTGGCTGGCAGCCCGTGTCCGGGACTGTCTCACCCGTGGGGACACGCGGGAAGCGCTGAGGATGGCTCAGAAGGGGGTCGAGCTGGGTAAGCATCACCGGGCCCGAGGGGCTGGCGAGGCAGGCTGGGGGTGCGGATGCTGGGTGCGAGGGGCCAGCCCTGCCGCTGAGATGAGGATGCACAGGCTGTGCTGTTGGAGCAGGTGGGTACCAACGTGGGTCACTTTGTCCCAGCATTGTGGTGCCCTCCGAGCTCGCACTGTCCAGAGCTGGGACACCTGGGAAGCTGGAAGCACCGGAAAGGCAGGGCTGGTGGGGATGGGGAGGGGGGATCCAGGTGCTGGGCATTTCTCCCATGTCCGCAGGTGTCCCGGGGTGATGGGAGGGGGTGGGTGGCCGGGCAAGCCCCACTGCTCATCCCAGCCGCAAGGGATGAGCGGGCCTGTGTCCTCTCGGCCGCATGCTTCTGGTGTTAGCAAGTGGCTGGAGGGGAAAGAGCTGCAAACAGCTTCTTAGATCTTGCTGTCCGGCAATATTTCAGTGTCAGAGGAAGAGGTCTGCCCGGGGGGTGGCTATTACGTAAAGTGGTTGGGACTTTTCCAGTCTGGGACAGATGTGTCCTTACCCCCAGAGCCTGGTGAGGACACAGGCTTGGCCGAGCTCCTGTGCCAGCCCTACGGCACAGGGCAGGGTGTCGTGTGTCCCCCCGCCCCGGCCCCCTTCTGCAACCGGCTCCGGCAAAACATTTGCCTGCAGGGTCAGGATCGGGCCCAGAGGGATTGATCTACTTTAATGTGTGGCTGTAAGTGGATTTCTTGGAAAGTAATGCTTAAATAAAAGGGGTTATACAATGTAATTGGAGCAGGGGGTTGGGACGGCGGAGGCAGAAGGTCCTTTCTCCACCAGTGTTTCTATGACAGCAGTCAGCTCTCCTCCCGCGGTGCAGACACTTATTCATCGCCCACTGCGGGACAAGTGCCAGAGGTTCAGGGTACGCCTGGAAGCAAAGGGCTGAGCGGGCTTGCCAATCCTGGTGTTGGCAGCAGAAAGCAGGTCCCTTTATGCAACCTCCCGAGGCGTCCGTCTCGTACCCTGTACACCCGTCCTTCAACGCAAATGCACGTGCATGGTTCTCTAGTACTGTTTGCCTTATTGCCAGACTTTGATTGGAGTGTGCAATTATATATCTCTTTTTAAAAAGCCTCTGTAAGTATAAAAAGCAAACGTTGCAAGCTCTGTCCTCAGTCTTCCCTGCACACTCCCTTCCCTGAAGGAAGGGGGAAGTCCGGCTTAGGGCAATGAGGAAATTGCAATCACAGCAGCCGCAGCTCCTGTAAACCTGCGCTTGCTGGTGCTGCTCAGGCTCAGCCATGTGGATGGTGCTTTCAGGACGTGTTTTCCAACTCCTGCAGCCTGCTTTCAGGCTGCACAACTTCTTAGGTGCTCCCCTTTGCTTTCAAACATAACCACTGATAAATGTTCAACCCACGAGAATGTTTTTTTTTGTGGTTCGGTGTGGCACGATGGGCCAGTTTGCAGTGCCCTGCTCAGCACAGCCCGCAGAGCCGCTCTCTTTGCTTGAGAGAAAATAAATTGTCAACTTTTTATCTTCTGTTTTTCTAAGTGAACAAAAAAAATGCACCGTAACGTGTAACACCGGAGGCCTCCCGTCATGCGTGGAGGCAGGAGGCTGGGGAGCACTCTCAGTCACTCATCAGCTGCCGGGGCCGCCAGCTGGCTTACATCCCTAATGTCTAATGATATCATAGATCAAGAATAGCTGCAGCAGAAGAGAAATGCAGAATTCATAGCCCCATTTTACACATCTTGTTTTCACCAAATCAGTCACTATTGCCAGGCTGTGCGGATGTTCAAATGGGTTTGCCCACAAGGAAAATGAGCATCTAGGCTTTGTACCCATTTGTTCATCTCTGCTTGGGCTGGATTATTTCGTCTCTGGATATGTACTTGCAGGACGGGGTACCGAGCAGCAAGTTCCCATGCTTCCTGACTTGAGCCCTAAGGTCCCGGCTAACATTATAAATGAAAATAAGCTCCGAGGGATCAGGTGTTGCTCTGCACAGGTCAGCATGGCCAGTGCAGCCTTGGTGCAGGAGTGGCTGGGGCCAGGTTCTCTGCTGCTCTCCAGGTTGCGGTGACACCTTGACCCCCAGGCAGAGAGCAAGGTCTCCCTGTGCTCTGCGCTGGGCACGGGGACAAAAGGAGGCGATAGCCGTGGCAGAGCTTCCTCCTCCATGATAAGAAGTGATGGGCGTCTGGGCATGGTGACAGTGGAGGCAGGCAGGGGTGTGGGCAGACCTGCAGTTTGCTGGCAGAGCTGCATCAGTGCCGTGTTTGACCTGGGGCAGGAGGAAAGGCTGCCGGGGCTGGGAGTGCAGGAGACATCATCAGCAACGATGTCTCCCGATGACCACTGGTCAGCTGCTGCGCAGCCCCCTGGACCCAGCTCGCCCCGGTAGGAGCTGCTGGCCCTTCAGGAAGGCGGTGCTGCCACAGTAAATGCAGTGCCAGTGCCTGCAAACGGTGCCCAATTTATAATGCAGATTTGGCCTCAGAGCCAGCGTCCTGCTGGTGATGGTCAGCACTGGGGGTGGGACACAGGACCGGGTGCACGGACCCGTTGCCTTAGCTGGAAAGGCAGCAGTGTGATGGATGTAGGTCACCTCTGTGGCAGGCTGTGATATAACGGGGTGGGTCTGGGAATCCTCCGCAGTTCAAACCCACAAACATAACCGCACCTGGCTGCTCCGTGAGCTGCACTGTGTGGGCTTTCGGGGTGCTGCTCACTCATACTCCCCGACATCCCCCAGCCCGATTCCCCTGCTGGCAATGCTGGTAGAAAGGAAGGTCTTTATGGGGCTTCCCTGAGGCAGGAGAGAAGAGGGTCTCACTGCCTGTTATTTAGGAGCAGGCAGGAGGATGTGGGGCACCCAGCACCGTGATGCTTGGGGTGCCATGGCCAGCAGCGCCTGCGGGAGCTGTGTCCCCTCTGCCACTGAGATCCCATCAGTGACATCTCGCTGACGAGGAGCTGGATGCTCAGTTCCTTTCCTCCATTTTGGGAAATCTCAGCCTTTTCTCATACTTGGAAACCCCAAGTCATGTGGTGGGGGCAGATCCTTGCACCCCTCCTGGTTTCCCCTCTGCTCCCGGAGAGTGGTGGCAGCCAGGTGGGTCCGGGAGGCTCCCTGGTCTTTTGGGATCGCAGGTCTCTGCAGCTGCAGGCTCGTTTGGTAACGTGTTATTGTGGCTCTGCTGGGTGAATCACATCGCAGAGCCTCCCATGGCAACAGCCCCCATAGGGAGTGCAGGTATGGTACAGCCTTTTTGCTGCATCCCAAAAGGATGGATTAGAGCCCAGATCCCAGTGTGACTGAGCCCCAAGGCAGTGGTGGGGCACCTTGGCTGAGGGCATTCGGGGCAGATAGGGAAAAACAAAGGGAAGAGCCTCAGAGAATTTAAAAGCAGATATTTAGGGAAAATAACTTCCTTCCTGAGACTTACGAGGCCAGTGACTCCTGCCAAAGAGGAGCACAGGAGCTGGCTGTGCTCAATGCGGGCAGCAGCGCAGGGGCCGTCCTGCCATGGCAGGGTCTCCCTGGCCTCACCCAGCCCCGCTGCCTCACCGCGCACAGACTCATCACATGAGTGACGACCTTTCTCTTTCCAGCCCCGGACGCCAGCTCCCTGCGGCTGTGCCAGGCAGAGGTGTTCATGGCGCTGGGGCAGCACCCGCAGGCGCTGGAGGACCTGGATGCCGTGTGCAAGGCTGAGCCTGGAGAGCACGAGGTGAGCGGAGGGGAGGCCTCATCAGCCGGGTGCGCTTGGAGCCAAATCTTACTGTATGGGAGCAGTTTCCTCCTTTTCTGAATTCTCCTAGCCATTGGATTCATCCTGCTCAGAAATACACTTGCCAAACCCATTAAGTTGCAAATCCAGGCTGCAAGTGCTGTGTTGCACTGATGGGAGCGGTCTGGCGCCGTGTCCGTCCTTGCTGGCGTGCAGGTGGTGAGGGCACGTAGCCCTGCTGCTGCGCAGGATCGCAGCTGGCGGCTCGGGGATGTGTTGGCCAGAGGCTGAACTGCCCTTGGAGAAATCAGCCCTGGGAGCTCACTGGCTGATTTGTGAAGCACTCGTTGGCGATAGTTTTCCAGCTTCAAAGGCAGAAGCCCTTGACTCCTTCTCTGGGTCTCAGTAGGGTTTGTTTGCTTGGCTTTTGCAACTGCTGCATTTTGGAAGAGTTCTGTTTTATGGGTACCTGGCTGCGGGTGGACCTGGTGGGCAAAAAGGACAAGTCTGAGCATGGGAGCAGTGACGTGTCCGGGTGCTTTGGCCTGGGATGGGAGCAGGCAGGAGGCTGGAGGGAGATTCCCTCGGGGCTCGCATGGGAGCTGAAGGGGCATGTGCTCAGCTGGTCACTGTCTTGTAGTTACTGCAGGTTTTTCTGCTCTGCAGGGCTTCTTCAGGAAAGGGAAGGTGCTTCTGGAGATGGGACAGAGAGCCGAAGCCCTGCTGGTGTGGGAGCACTGCCTGACGCTCAGTCCCCATTTCCACCCTGCTCGGAGAGAGATGGAGAAGGTGCGTGGGCCGTACTGTGGCGGGGTCCTGTGCCCTCGCATCACACAGGGAGATGCCCTTGTCCTCTGAAGGACTCGTGTCCATCACGATCGTGCTGCTCTGGCCAGCACTGGGATCAAGTGAAGTCGGGTCCTGGTCCAAGAGCCTTCCCGTCGCTCTGATGCAGGTTCACCCATGAAGAAAACTACCCTTCCTCAGTCCATATCTTCAAGTCTCAGGTTTTGCAGGGTTTAGATGCTGACATGGCATGAGGTGGGCTTCGAGGCAGCATCAGTAGTCACCCAAGGCAAAGCAGCCAGCTGAAAGCTGCCACTGGAGAGTCAATGTCTTTTATGCAGATGATTTCAGGCCAGCACCCACCTGTGTACCAAAATCACCGTCACTGGTGGGGCCTCCAGCAGTGTCCCCGGCATGGGGACTTCATGCCATGAATGGACACTTGCCCCCAGGAGGGAAAGGGCAGGGAAATGGCGAATGACCTCGTACCCTCCACAGCTCACTCCCTTCCTGCTCTTTGTGGGTGATGGAGAACATGGGTCCCACCCCTTAAAATGCACCATTTTGTTTGCTGCCTCCTGCTGCTTTCTTCCTTATGTGCTGCTAAGGCATTTTTTTGACGGAGAGCTCAGCCAGCACTGAAATAAGTAACCCCAGCGTGCCCTGTGGTGAGCAAGAAGCCGCTTTGGGGAAGGAGGGAGCCTGGTAGCCTACTCACCTCCCTGCTTCCTTCTCCCAGCACCCCCTGAGCCCCTCTTTCTCCTTGCAGATCCTCACACAGGAGGATGCTCCTCCGCCACGCACGGCTGCTGCACGCCTGGGTGATGCTCACCTGGGCTTGACTTGTCCCCAGGTCGATGGAGGGAGCCCTGAGCTCCCGTCTTCCGCACAAGCTCAGGTGAGAGAGCTTCCAATGATCTGAGTCTGTGATGGGACTTAATGTCCCTCTAGGACATCCCAAATTGGGGTTTTCTGATGATGGGAAAGGAGGTGTGATAAGGGGGAGACTCTGCAGGACCATAGCCACGTGCATGTGGTTGTGTGCTGGGATGAGAAGCTGCAGGTAGTGCAGGGCGGGAGAGCAAAGACACCATCGGAGCTGATGCTGTGGAGGCTGTGGAAACAGAAGAGGCTCTTTCTGTCTCCATTCCTCTCCCAGTTTTATTCTGCAATACTTCTGGTAAGATTTGAGACTTTCATTGTGTTTAAAACACTCAAGTCACACTACATTCAGAAAAAAAAAAAAAAGAAAATGTCAGTTTTAATGTTTTTATTCATCCAAAAACCACATTTGAGAACAGTTCAGACCATTAGCAGCTATTAAGGAAAGCTCATCTTTTGCTCTTTGCCTTCTATAGATTAATTTGGCAGGTTTGGAGAGAGGTGGAAATCAAGAGAAAATGGGCTCAGATACACCCAAATACCAGGTGGTACATCTGGAAAGAGTAAACCCATGTTTTAACCATGAGATGAGCAGGGATGCCTGGGAAGGCCATGCTCTCCTGCTGTCCTGCAGATGCAAGGTGTTAGTATACACCAACACGCTGGAAAAACTCCCAGTGCCATTGGGCTCGGTGGGGTGGATGGGGCAGTGTATTCAAAAAGAGGAGAGGTCTGAGGCTTGATTTAATCTTTGCTGTGCCTAGGATCAGGAGGGAGAGCCGGTGGATGGCCAAGGGGACGCTGGGTCTGAGCACGGCCAGGGCACAGCCACGCTTTCCCAGCTGGGGCGACGTCAGGAACCGGAGACTTCAGCAGAGAGACAGGGCCGGCGGTTGGTAGGTGAGTGTCGTCAAAGGTACCAAAATCACATCTCATGCAAAATACTTGTTTAAAATCTATTTTGGCACTGAAAACTTACTTTTTGCGCTGAGTGCCAGCTCAGCGAGCAGAGATCTCAGGGGCAACCGATGGGGCAGCTCTGGCCAGCACATTTGCTGCTTCTCATGCATGTGAGTAGGATCCGATCCTCCCGTGTTGAGGTGGTGAATGTACACCAAACCTTTGGGTGTCACTTGGTGAAAAGTTCTTGCCGAAGCCAGACGTCACTTGTTCCCTGTGTGGAGCCAGGGAGAGGCTTCCTTTGGTTCCCTTGGGGTTTAGATCAGAACTTAAATTCCCTTGCAAGGGACACAGTGTGTCATGTGCTGGGGGAAGCAGCACCTCCATTGGCATTAACTTGCCATCAGCATCCAGCCAGGTGGCTTCCACATATGTAGGTTTGCATAAAGCAGTGATGATGCCCTGTGGCAGGCCTCCAGAGCCCTCCATCTGGGAGCTTCATAGGCCCCTTCACCTCCCAGTGCCTCAGTTTCCCTGCCTACAAAAGGAGGTAGGGAGATACCACCTTCCTCTACCAAGTACCATGAGACCCACTGATGGAGAAGCTCTGGATGAACACGGCTGCTGGGTTAATAGTGGGGTTTATGTCACATTTCCTAGCGGTTTTGTTTTAATCTTCAAAGCACTTTGTGTAGCAATTAACTACTTACACCTCAGAACAAGGTCAGAAAGCAAAGATTAATTTTCAGTATTGAAATGGGGGGTCGTCTCCTCTTTCCTTCTCTTTTGCCACTAGATAACGAAGAGGAAACAGCAGCAGGAAAGTGTACCCAGATATGCCTCGGGCAGCTGCTGAGCATATCTGACTTGGAGTGTTCCCTCTGCATACGGTGAGTTCTCTGGTGGGAGAGCTTTTAGGATGAAGAATTAGCACCTTGCTGGGTTTTCTTTCCTGGTGTGGATCTTTCTTCACATCTTAATAGCAAACTCAGTCCTCAGTACTGCTGAAACACAGGTTTCGGTAGAGAGAACAGATAAGAGGGGAGGACAGGAGCATGCTTTGCCCTGCCAGGTTTTAAGAGCTCAGATTGCCCTGTCTCAGGGCGCAGCATCGTTAGGTCTCGCTTGGGACATTGGAGCAGAGGCGGGGATGTTCAGTGGGGTCAAAGACTGAAAGTGGTGGTTGCCCTTTGTAACTGCAGGCTGGAACAGGGAGGTGTTGCCCCAGGGAAATACCATCAGCAACAGGGGTATTGCAAACCCAGAGGGGAGCATTTCTGAGCTCTCTGCCCAGAGATGGAAGAGGGGACCAGGTAGAGCCCGTGTCCCACTTCTGACTCAGGACCGGGGAAGGGCTGGGTGCTGCCACAGGGCATGCTGAAACCAGGCTGTTCTTTCTGGCGTGTCCCAGGACCTTGAGCAGTTGTGCAAGCGGCTGCTGGCAGAGGGCTGGGTGTTGCACAGCTGGACGTGCAAGATGGTCAAGGTCTCCTGTATGGCAGCTTTTTCCAGGTCTGGGCATGGCATGGGGGAATGACACAGGGGAGAGAGATCAACACTGTATCTGATCTGAATTAGGCGAATTTAGGTCTCTTCTGAGAGCAGGGAAACATAATGTTCAGGAGCAGTCAGGGCTCAGTGCTGAGCAGGGCTTTCCCGAGACCTTCGCTTCGTTTCTGATCCTGGAGCTACCTGTGAGCAAGCCGAGTGCTTGCTGCCGGCTCTGCTCTGGGAGCAGGGGAGAAGGAGGCACTTTCCCGTTGCTGCCTTTTGGGCTACACATCACTGTGGGTGTCTGAGGAACCGCAGCCCTGCCAGGACCAAGGGGTGCCATCTGTGTACTGATGGGGTCGGTGGGGACCCCGCAGGGATGGGGAGCAGTGCTGAGGCCTGGGAGAGTTCTCATCTTACATCATTGTGCAAGTCCAACAGTCTGAGCCCAGACTTCTAATTAAAGGAATAAGCCAGTTAGGAACCCTTACATTTAATTAACAGGAGTTATGAGCAAAGCTTAGCCAATACAGCTTTAGTTAAGGTGAGCTTCATAGCCATGGGCTGCCAGGGCTTGGAAGACGTGGCATGACATAGCTTTCCATGGTGTCACATCCCTGCAGCATCGCTGTCTTCAGTGCAGAAAACTGGTGAAGGCAGCAGATTTCCCTTGAAATGGTGGAGGGGACATGGGGAATGCTGCTTTCCTGCTGGAAGCAAAATCGCTTGCTGTCAGCAAGGTGATTCAAGGAAGATGCAGGTGCAAGGCTGGGGATAGCCAGAAGCTGCACCCACGGCTTTGCCCACCCTGACCTGCTCGACCCTTGCAGCACCAGCCTGGGCCTCTGCAAGTCCCTGAGCGCTTTGGGACACCCCCCTGCTATGGGGCTGAGACCAGCCGGGGTTTCCAAAGCAGGGTGCTGAGCCAGGCCTGGGGAATGACAGTTTTGAGGGCACCCAGCCCTATGAACAGAGGCTCTGTTAAGTCTCTCTCTGCAGGCTTAGCTGCCCTCCTTCCCCCGCGTTGCTTTCTGCAGTCCGTTGACTTTGGTCCCTTTGCAGGATGTTCTTCGAGCCGGTGACGACGCCATGTGGGCACACCTTCTGCAAGGAGTGCCTCGAACGCTGCCTGGACCACCGGCCCAACTGCCCCCTCTGCAAACAGAGCCTGAGAGAGGTGAGGGCACGCGTCCCGTGGGAGGGAGCCCAAGGGAGAGACGAGGATCGGCTCCGGCTGCCAGGAGAGTGCCCAGGGCTGGGGTGGGAAGGTGCAATGCTCCCATGTTAGCAGCTCCCTGGCACAGCGGTGTCAGCTCCACTCACATGGGAATGACCAGACAGTTGATAATTAAGACCAAGAGATTCATTTCCACAAGATGCCAGAGTGATTTAGTGAGATTGTAAACAGGACTGAGAGGGAGAGAGAGAGAGAGAAAGAAAGAAGCAAATGCTAATTACTTTTAAAAATGGAAATGGATGGAAAACCTGCTAGCCTGGAGATTTGATTTAATTTTTAATGAAAAGGGACTTGGATGAGACCATCAGGGAAATTAGGTTGTCATACAAGGGCTGCATCACTGTCAGAGACAGGATGCTGCGTTGGACGGGCCCCGGCTCTGAGCTGTGTCTGGAGGTCTCGGTGGAGCTGACATCCCGTCCTGCTAGATGGCTCGACATCCCCTGATAGGTTTTATCCCTGACTTTCTCTGATCTAAAATTACTCTCAGCTCCAATAAAAGTAAGTGTGATTCAGAACCTGGCACGGCCTCAGGGCTCCCCCTCCTGCTCTTCTCCAGCCTATTTCGGGGTCTAATTTCTTTTAGTACCTGAAGGCTGGAAGCTACAGCCCCACCGTGCTGCTGCAGGACATCATGCTGGCCACCTTCCCCGCACAGGTGGCCGAGCGCCGGGAGCTGCACCAGGCTGAGATGGCAGAGCTCTCCAAGTAAGCAGGGACCTGCTCCAGCACGTGTGTGCATGCATGTGTGTGTGTGTGTGTGTGTGTGCGTGCGCACAGGGGCTGGGAGGGGCTCCGAGGGGGCTGGCCACACCACATACCATTGCTCTGGCTTGGTTCTGCTCAAGTGGTGTCTGTTCTGCTTCTAGGACCACATCACAGCAGTGCTGGGTGGGTGTGGACGTGCCCCATGGGGCACCTGGGGATGAGGGAGCATCTCTCCAAGGAGCTGTTTTGTGGGCAGTGTCTGTCCTTGGGCTCTTGGTGAGCCAAGTAGAAGCTTTGATGTTGCTCTGCACCGGAGCATCACTTCTTGGGGTAAAGGACACATCTGGTTCGGGGCAGCAGCTGATGCAGAGCCATTGGAATGGGATTTGCTCCATGAGGTTTCATAGTGGTCTCTCCTCCTGTCCCTCAGCCTGACCAAGAACATCCCCATCTTCGTATGCACGATGTCCTTCCCAGGCATCGCCTGCCCTCTGCACGTCTTCGAACCTCGCTACCGCCTCATGATCCGGCGGTGCCAGGAGACTGGCACGAGGAGGTTCGGCATGTGTATATACGAGAATGGGAAAAGGTGAGCTCCTGGGCAAGGCAGCTTCCCTCTGCCTTGGCTGATTTGCCCCTCTCTGCCCCAGCCCCAAAAGTCTAAAATCCCAAGTAGTTCAGAGAGGAGGAACAAGATGCAATTTCCTATCCCACTGCACTCTGCAGATAAAATCAGCAGGGAGGTGGTGCGTTCCCCACACAGCAGAGTGAAACGGGATCTTGCTGCCTTCTGGCATTGCACTGGCCAGGCAAGGAATGGGGCCAGGGCTGGAGCTGGGCAGAGCCAGCGGTGGCTGTTAAATATGACGGTCTTGGAATGGTTTCTGGCTCAGGATATCTCTGAGCTGCATGGTTCCCTGGCCATGTCCTCTGGCTCTTCTTAGTGAGCACTTTAAAATTGCCATATTTCTCATACTCTGTCCTTAACAAGCTACGAGAGGACATGGGGCTAAACGGGCTTTTGTTTGGTGCGGTGTGGCCATCCTTGTGCTCCTGGTGGCACCTCCAGATGTCAGATGGGCTCAGTCTTCAGGCTCCTAACCTAAGTACTGTTAAATACCTGTATTTACATGACATATTCTCCCTGTGCTCCAGTCCTGTTCAAGTGAAGTGAGATAAATAACATTTTCTGGACTTTGGGAGGATGGCTCTGCAATGGATGGTGTCTTCAGGACTACTGGACATCAGGGCAGTATGAGGACCCAAGTCATTTTGGTGTAAGGCAAATCCAAGGGAGTGTGGACAGTGTGCTCGCTATTCCCTGCCCTTTTAGCAGCAAGTGGTAACTCAACAGAGTTGAGCGAATCTCCGAATTTGCCCCCTCCCAGACAGTGTGTTCCTGGGCCTTTTCCTCCTTGGAGGTGGTGCCTTCAGGAGAAGCAGCTCTCCCACCACTGGTATCCCAGCTCAGCTCCTCTTTTCTCTCCCTGGCTCCCTCCAGTTTTGCTGACTACGGCTGCATGCTGGAGATTCGGCAGATCGAGCTGCTGGCGGATGGGAGGTCCTTGGTGGACACCATCGGCAGGAGGCGGTTCCGGGTGCTGAGACGTGGACACAGGGATGGCTACAACACTGCTGACATCGAGTACCTGGAGGACAAGAAGGTGAGGGCAGGGCCAGGGCAAGAGCCCCTGCTGCGGTGGGACAGAGCCTCCCCATGGACACCTGCATCCCTCTTCCCTCCACGCAGGTGGCCGGGGAGGAGCTGCAGGAGCTGCAGTGCCTGCATGAAAGCACCTACCGCTTGGCTCAGCGGTTTTGTGAGCACGGAGACCTTGCCTCCAGGCACATTTTGATGCAGCATGGACCCTTGCCGGAGAAGGAAGAGGACATCCAGGTAACGCCCCGAGGGAAGGGATGCTCTAAATAGAGAGGGTACCAAGAGAGGCCCTGAAGCAGCGCCGTTCCTGTGCTGACCACCCTGCTTCCCTGCTCGCCTCCCCCCCCAAGATGAGCAAAAAAACCCTTGTTTTTCAGTCCTGTTACCAGTTACGGCATCTCTCACTCCGAGATATGGTAGGTCTTGTTTGTTAAAACTGTTTACTGTTTCTTTTTTAAACTGTTCTTGGAAACTGAGCACTGAGTTTTAAAAGCTTTCCTGGCCTCTTTTCCTAAATGGTGACCAAGAAACTGAACTGCCTGGATTTGAAAACACTTGGGAAAAAAAAAACAAAAAACAAAAACCCAAATGGGCAAAGAAACAAACCCCACAGCTCAGCCAGTCTGCGGTCTCCTTTCTCATTGTGTTTCTTTGAGACAGCCATAGCTGGCCAGAGGAGCTAAGAGGGCAGGATCTAGTTTGCTCATTAAGTTGCTCTAACAAATTCAGATTCTGGAGAGAAAAAAAAAGCCCAAAATTTAGTTTTCACTCCTTTAAGAAAGTGTTTCCTGCCGGGACTGTTACAAATATGCTCTTGCTGGCTTGTCCCAGGCTAAGGCTGTCCTGGCCAGCAATCCCATCGACGCTGTGCTCAAAATTACAAAACGATTCATCCTCCTTCAGCTGAATCGAGCATTTCCCTCCCAGTTTGGCTCAGGTTTTAAAAAAGCCGGTTTACAGAAGCACTGCCCAGCGGTTGTGCCTGCCTGGCCTGCACCTCGCCTCTTTGTCTTTGGGGCAAACGCCCCAAAAGACTCCGACCACACAGAATTTCGCCTGTGTTTACAAAAAGCATTGCCTTAAACAAGGAAATGCACAAGATATTTCTTTGTCTCTTTAGTATAGACTTTTTCCTGGTTACATTTGTGTCTGGAGACTCCCTGGGGAATGCTTGTCTGGAAATTAAATCAGTTTATCCAGCAGTTTTGAGCCTGGACAGACAAAAGGGCCATTCAGAGGAACACCTTAGCCAAAGCTGGCATTGCTGTCCTGACAAGAGCAAATGTTTCCCATCCGCGATGCCGCCCAAAAGCCTTGGGTTCACCTTGCAGTTCCTGACGTGGGGGTCTCTCCCTCTCTCCTCTCCAGGCTTCAGCAGATGGCCCGACGTGGTGCTGGTGGCTCATCTCCATCCTGCCCCTTGACCCATCCTACCAGCTGAACCTCTTCTCCACCACCTCCCTGCGTGCCCGCCTCACCCAGCTGCAGCGCATCCTCACCGCCCTGCTGCAGCAGCCCCCCGCCGGGCACCCGCTGCCCGAGCGCAGTCCCCGGGGCCGCGTCTGAGCCCCCCGGCCTCTCCGCAGGGGAGGCCTCCGCTGCCTCGGGTTTCTCTATGTGTTGCTTTGTGGTTTTGCCTGTGGTTTGAGACCCTCCAAAAGTGAACTCAGCGATGAGCTGGGCACCCTCTGTCTGGCTCGGTGGGGCCAGTGCCACACCAGCAGTGACACTACACCGTCCGTGCCGCCTCTGGGAGCTGCTCGGTGACACAGCCGTGCTGTGCCGCCAGAGGGGGGACCAGGATGGAAGTCTGGGTTGTGTCTCGGGAACCAAAATCACCTGCTGAGCTGCTTTGGTACTAAGGAAGATTCTCCTTAGGGCAGAGGACTGAGTGCCGGGATCACCTCGGTTTTGGCTCTTCCGCTTTGAAGGACAACATAGGGGTTTTTGGTAGATGGTCCTGCTCTGTGCAGCAGATTTAGAGGCTTGGGAGAAGTGGCACTGGGAGGCAGAGACGTCTTGATGGCTTCCCCCAGCCTCGGGAGCTGACGGCTCTGCCTCTGCTTATGACTTTGACTTAATTTCTATTTGAATGGGAAGAAAGGTTAAATTAAACAATCTGAAACTCATGGTCCTGCTCCTAACCACCCCCATGGCCACACAGTGAGGAGATGCTGCTCTCCAGATGCGACCGGGTCTGGACATCCCCTTCCCACTGCTCTGCTCGGTGCTTTGCTGTGTTTGCTGTGCCGAGCTCGCCGGCCACTTGCCCGGGCTGGACCCGTGCTGGAGGCTGCCAGCCGCTTTCCCGACTGCCAGCTCCACTGCCATGAAGTGCTGTGGGAAGGGGGGGATTCGGCAGCGTTGGTGCTTTTCCCCCCACCCAAAAACTGCTGTTCTGAGCCTGGCTGGGTTCTGGTTGCAGGGTCAGACTTGGGACCTGGAAGGTGCTGATGGAGACTTTCTGCTCCTTGACTAGTGCAATTTTCCCGTGTTCAGTGTTTCTTGTGAACTTTCTGTCTCCTCAGGAGAAAATCGGGATCTGAGCTGAGGCCGGATCCTTACACTTGGGACCCAGAACAGTTCAGGATCCCCCAAAGAGCACAGAGTGAAGTCACAGGGAGCCGAACCTCTGGAGAGGGGGGGGGCAGGTAGGACTGGAGACCGAGGCTGTGAGCCCCATGTCAGGGGAGCAAGTGCCTGGCTGCTGCTTGTCTCTAAACACAGGGAAAAGACTATTCCCCTGGACAGACCAGGCTTTCCTCCATGGAAATCCTGAAGGTTTGGGATTTTTGTTTCCCATCCATAATTTCAGTGGCTTTGAGTTGAATTTTGGGAGTGACATCCACTTAGTTGCTGGATTAACATTGTTCCAGAATTTTATCCCTGCTTTTCTCAAAGGCTCTGCACCCCATCCGGGGGCTCAGTGGGCTGTTGGGTGTGTGTGGGAGAGAAAATCAGGCTGGGGCTACAGTGCTCCTTACTGCACATGTTGCTGGGCTCAGCCCGGGGCAGGAGGCTCTGGACACATCTCTGGAGAGGTCCTTGCCCAGGGCCACCACCTTTCCCCATCCTGCTCTCTCCAGGAGCTAGAGATCTCGGTCTCTCCTCTCCAGCAAAGTGCCTCCCCGGAGTGATAGTCGGGGGAAGCTGAGGTCTTGCTCCCCAGGGACCATAGTGAGTGCAGGGTGGCTCAGGACAACTCCTCTACCTTTGAGCCATGTCCTCCCCCACTTTGCTGCTGTCTCTGGGGCACCATGACTCCCCCAAGGGGCTATATCCCTGGGACGTTGGATCGGGGTGGGCAGGGGTAGGTGATGGAGGGATGACTTGCGGTCCCAGGGCAGGTGTGTGCAGGTGGCAGGATGCCACTGAAGCTTGGGAAGTGCCTTTCTTTTCCGCAGGGTCAATGTGAGCTCACTCAGTGACCAACCCCCCCGCCCCTCACCCCTCACCTACCCCCCCGATTTGCCTGTTCCCCAGGTGTGGGAGCTCCCTGGGCCACTGCAGGTCCCTCCAGCAAGGGGGTGGCATGGGGGGATGCAGGGGAGAAGCATGGGTCTGCACCATGTCCATGCTGGGGGAGAACTAGAGACCAGAGCCTTGTCTGCCTGGCTGCTTTGGGAAGGGACTCGTGCAAATCACTCCGGTTTGCTTGGAGTGCCTTTGGGGTTTGTATTAGTATCTTTGGTCGTTGAATTAAATTTTCTTCCTGGTCATTGAAATAAAGACCTTTTTTGTTGTTTTGTTGCTGGTGTTTAACTTTTAGCCGCTCATTGATGAAAGTGCTTGGGCATCACCAGGGAGATTTGGGGCTGCGTGGAGAGGTGACACCCTGGCCTTCAGCCAGCAAGTTAGACAGACACAGTGAACACAGTCCAGTGAAGGTAGATGGCAACAAGGGAAAAAAATAAGGTGGTTTTGCTCGTAGAAAGTGAGCATGTGAAACAAGGCAGGAAGGACCAGCTCCTGCCTGTCATCACAGGTAAAGGCTTTGGGGGGGGATGGGAAGCGGGAGACCGGTCTGGTAGAGATGCTGACCAGTGTGGGATGACCCTGGAGGGTATCTGTCCCTCGAATGCTGTGGGGAGCATCTGTCCCTGTCCCCGCTTTGCAACCATGGGCAGAGGGCTGTGAGCCGGGAGCAGGTTTGCTTTTGGCAGCTGGCATTAGGGATGAGTGACAATCCAGGGAGGGACCTAAAATGAGAGGGTGGCCCTGGATGGAGAGGGGACAGTCTTTAACCCCAAGCACAGGGATGTCTTGCTGGGACAGCTCTCACCTGTCTCTTGCCCCCACCTCACTTCTTCCTTCTACCTCCCAAATGTGCCATCCAAAACCAAGGGCGAGAAGGAAATTCCTCTGCCCAGCTCTGCTTTGCACCCTGCCTGGGAACCTGGAACAACTGTAGAAGAGGGGCAGAGGGCTCAAGTGGTCTGAGATGGTGGATAACCCTAAAAAGGTCCCGTGCCTCAGAGCAGGGTCTCTGCCAGGCCGTTAGTAACTGGTTCCATGAGGAATTATACCTTGAATTTCACCCCCCAGAAATTCTCTACAGAAACAGCTGTGCCCTGGTGAAGCCCAGCTGTGTGCCACAGCTGATGCCAGCCCCTTTGGTGGCTCTGGCAGCCCAGGCCTTGCACCCGTCTGGGCAGCTAGTGGGTGTCTGTATGTCCAGGAGTCTGGAGCTGGCACCGGATCCCTTTGCCATGTTGCCCTGCTCCCACTAGGTGTCAGGAAGAGGCTGAGTGCGGGCGAGGAGGAAGGCAGAGAAGAGGGGTTGTGCAGCATCAGCCGCTGCCAGAGCCTTGGCCATGCTTTTCTCACCCCCAGCCCCAAAAGCAGCCCCACTCTCAGCCCTGGCCCTGCAAGGCGAGTAGGGCTGGGCTGCCCCAAGCTCTCCATCAGCACAGAAGCTGGGGACTGGTGCAGTGTGTCACTTGAGGCCACCTCCTCTTTACCTGGTGCACAGGGTCTGCCCTGGGAGATCCTTTCTCCACTCCGGCCAGCAAGGTCTTGTTTGCCCTCTTGGGACTGGAGCAGGGGACTGGGGCAGTTGGGAGGTGTCCTTCTCCCCATCTTCCTCTGGCCACCCTGCTGGTTATGGCCTCAGCTCAAAGGTTGGGAGATGAGGCAACTTCTTTTCCCAGCACACAGCTGGGACATTACGATGTCCCAGGACCCCTTGCAAAAGCAGACCTGGCATCTCGCAGCCCCACTGGGGTGATGGGTTGCTTCACTGAGCAGTTGGGATCTGGGTGGGGGCAGCTGGGAGGGACCTGGCCACATCCACGCTGCCACTTTCCCAACCCTGCCCTAGATGTCTACCTGGGCGAGGGAACCCCAGCATCCCCACCATCAGGTGGGACTGTGAGGTGGATGTTGGGCTTGTTACTGGCTCCCACCAAGCCATCCCCTCCTGACATGCTCTACTCTTCAAAGTCCATTTTGGGCAGCTTTTGGACCCAGGCTGCTATGGCCGGACTCTGTCTGCGGGGACACAGAGGACCCGCGGCGGCCAGGAGCGGCTCCTTCCCCAGCTCTGAGGGCTCCTGCTTCACCTCATCCTCTGTCACAAGCCCGTGGAGAGGCCAGATCTGGTTGTGCCTGGCATGGCTGGGGCTGGCAGCCCTGGGCACCTCCAGCCTCTCTGCCCCAGGCTCAGTGCTAGCATGCATGGCAGCTTCACCCCCAAATCAGCAGCCAGAGCCGTGGGGAGATGCGTCCATCTCTGCATAGGCTCCTCGGGGGCACTGGGGGTCTGAGGGGAGACGAGTGGCCCGACCCCACAGCACAGGACCTCCATCCCATCTGTACTGCTGCACTGCGCTTTTTGCTGCTTGGATTTGTTTCCTCCCTGTATTCTTCCATCTCCGTGTGACCTCCTCCCCTGCACATCCCAACAATAACTAGTAATGATTTCTGGCCTTTCTATAACACTCATCATTGGAGCTTTTCAAACGCACGGTTGTATCCTTCTCTGGATTTTACAGGCAAGACCTGGGGGTGGGAAGAGGCAACACGTTGCCCGTGATTGCCCAACAAGGTCCCTGGTAGTCAGGGGACTGTTCTCCAAACGGATCCCTCTTCCCACCGCATCCAGCCCCCACCTCTGTGGATGCTGGGATGTATCCTGCACCTGGATTTTACATCCCTGGGGAGTTGTAAACCAGAACCAGCACTGGCCCCGCTCCCACCATCCCAAAACGCATCCTCCAGCTCCCCTGACCTCCTCTCCAGCAGCACCATTTCCTCCCTTCCTGTTCGGCCCCTTCAACTTGAGACATCAATGACAACTTCCCTCATGTAATACTGTGGGCAAGCAATTAGCTAAAGAGGCAAGTAATTAATACAGCAGGTGTCAGGCTGCACCTCATCTTTCTTTAACAAATGGCGTATTTCCAAACTAATTAGACCAGCCAGTACTTGAGACAGCACAAAATCAACACAAAATTGTTCGAGCTAAGATCTTCTCTAGCAAGGCTATGTTCATGCCGGAAGAGGAGCACAGAACATGTTAAGGTTAATGAAGGTAAGAAGAAAAGGGAGAAAACCAGCACCTAATT